TACATTTACAATAATACGCCGAAATAGTATACATGTGTGCATGTACATGCCGCCATTTCCGAATTCGAGGCACAACCAGGAAATAAACAGCGAATATAAATTCATAATTCGGTACTTGCCGAAACTTGTCCATTAATTTTGAAACGAGACAACTGATCGCGCTTCGTCGAATTTTTCATCGAACGAGGAATGGATTTCAACAATAACAATAGTAGAATTGATTCTTGTATCATCTTGTTTGGTTAACGTTTCACACGTTTGTCCCTCGCGTAAAATTGGTTCGCCTTTAGTAACGAATTCGTGTTCGCGCGTATATTACTTCGGTACACACACTCGTACTCGAATGATAAACCGGATGTCCGGTTCGACAAAATCGATTCTGTTATTCTATCTATACAGATATTCGAATCTTCCAAAGTCTCTGAGGAACATAAACGTAACTTTGTTATCATAATGCTAAATTAAAAGGGAAACAAAAAGAAAGAAAATAATGGAAAAAAAAAAGATAATATACATAATTTGTCTCTATCCGTAATCGACAAACAACGATCGTATCGAATGAAAAATTCGTCTAACGTGTACTTATTGACGCACACTGGCCGGATTCCCGCAGTAGCGGATTTAATCTTAGGGAATTATAATGTATGTTCGAGAACCGTTTCGTCGGATTCCCCTCGTTCGGACACAGAGTTTTACAGCTAGAAACCGAGTGTCTGCGTTCCGACTTTGGAATAATGTTATTGCAGCCTTTTTTCTTTCAATACTGTGCGCTTCTCGAAGTTAAATTAAAAAATCGATCCACTTGTGCAGCATATGACTGAAGTTGCAACGTATCTGAACATTGACAATGCCCATGAAGTCCTCCACAAATGCTAATGTATCGATATGGACAACGTTATCGAATTAATTTCATACTCAAATTATTCTCGATCGATATACACTTTGTTTCCGACTCTATCTTGTAAATAAATTAAGAACTCACGCGTATCGATATCGTTGACCAATCGTACACTGGCATCTACCGGGACCTCTTTAAAATCGCATTCTTCTATTGAGAAGCACAGAGACGCATTCTTGTGGATCATTAAAAGTTTGTGGAAGATATCGTCGCTTTTTTATTTTAATCTCGGAAGGAATAACCGATAAATGATACCACAATGACAATGAGTACAGGTATTAAGTTACCGATACTCACGAATCGATGCGCTGACGTACAATCTTGCGCGAGATCGATCAATCGTTCGGAACGAAGTATTAAAACTCGTATTCCAGATGATTTGTGAAATTCTTGTACTTTTTAAAATCCTTTTAAATAGTTTATTGTAAAACACTTTTCTAGAGTATTTCACTTCGTTTCAGTGAAAATTTACCATGAATTTTTCGAACCTTCACAAATCAACTGTAACGTTCTAACCTATTACTAGAATCACAAGTATATCCTTTTTGAGGAGAATATCGATCGCTGTATCGATCGATCTCGCTTCGAAAATCGTTCCACAAAAGGCGCATGCGAAGAGTTTCGATTATTTCAAACTAGAGTTATACATGCAGTGGGTCACAAAATTATTCGCTCACCGTTTAAAACAGAATACCTCGTTTAAAATTGGACCAAATGATTTGAGGCTTTTTGAGAAGCTATAAAAATTAATTTACTAAGATAAAAAATTACAATTTGTCGAAATCGGGATAAAAATAGTAAAAGGTAAAAGGCAAAAAGTTAAAAATTTACCTTTTACTATTTTTGTCCCGATTTCGACAAATTGTAATTTTTTTAAACGACAAAAGCACATATCTTAGTAAATTGATTTGTATAATTTCTCGAGAAACCTCACGTCATTTATTCCAATTTTAAATGAGGTGTTCTGTTTTAAACGGTGAGCGAATAATTTTGTGACCCACTGTAAGTGGAAACGGCGCCCTTTCCGAGTAAGTTTGGTTTATGTTCCGGTACAAATGTTATTTGTTGACTTTAAAGGTATCAACTGTTTAATCATGCAATTTTCATTATTTCTCGTAATACGTTTACAATATCACAGTTACATATTTTCTTCGACATGCTGAAACTATTCGCTGTGCACCGACAATCGAGGAAACCGATGAAACGTCGCGAACAGAGTCGCTTAAATATATTTCATCAAAGCAAGCTGGAGAAGAAAAATAAGGAAGAAGAGGAGGGAGATGTACGCTACTACTCTCATATAAAAACATTACGCATATTGTTTAAACGTTTATCGAACTGTACCAAAAATATAGCGTTTTCTTTTAACTTAGAGCCAATAAGGAAGCACTTATTGTTTTTAGGAAATAAAATTAGGGTTCCTAAGAGAGTAGAAGACAAGGATCCAGGAATAAGAAAAAAGAAAGAAATCACGTCGAAACGGATTCACTTGTACCGATTTGTAAATAGCAACGGATATTCGACTATTATTGTTAAGTAATAAAACCATACAAAGATTCGAACGAATTTGAATATTACTCTGGACAAATGATTGAAAATATCGAAAAAGTACTACGACGGAAATATACAACGACCACTGTTGTACTAGTAAATTCTAATTTTTCGATATTTTCAATTTTTAATCATTCTTTTCGTTTCTTCGAGTAATGTTCAAAGTCTGGCGAAATCACCGTTGCTATTCACAGATAAATGTGATCGATCGACGACGATTCGATATGTACAGCTGTGTGCCTAAGAATGTACGTCAACGCGAAATACGAAGAGATCGCGCATGTGCTCTCGAGGATACGTAAATTTTACTTTATACGGTAAGTCCTTTCCGTATCTCCGAATGAGGAGAGAAAAAAAAAAAAATGATCTCTTCGACCTTATCTCTTGTGCACTTCTCTCACGGAGTTCAACTTTCTTTGCTTTTTGGTAAGTTTTAATTATCTTTTTAGTGGCTCGTGGGAGAGGGGGGAGATGAAGGAGATTATCGTGTAATACAAGTGCAGTGAGGAGGAGTTCTGGATTAAAGGAAGAGAATAGGGGGATTAATTTGCGACTTGATTTCTTTTAAAAGGTTAGTTTGGTTTTTGGGGCCCAACGACTCGTGACGAGTTATTGTATGAAATAATCGGGATGATCTGAATCCTTTTCAAACCTCTTCGCCTCTTCTTGCATGCTCTCCTTGATCTTGAGTATGGCCGCTGACTCAGTCTGATCCTGCGAATCAACCAACACCAGGCCGGTTACACGTAAGAGGTTTGGCAAGTCCACCATCAGGTGATACCTTGCCTACTTTTTAATGTTTTTTTTTTTTTATTTTTTTTTTATCCGCTTTCAGCGTCTCATCAGCGAGCCGAGTAAATTTCCTTGCACTTATATGTATTAAAGTACTCCAACTATTTTCAAACATAATCATACAGAGCAAATAATTAACAATCAATCGTGTTGATCGTATTTAATTCTGAAAATAATGCTAAGGTAGAACCATGGATATTAAACTAAAAAAGAAAAAAAGTAGTGCAAAATAACACTTATAGATATCTGATATACAGTGATCTTATTACGTAACTATATTAGTGCTACCTTATTATTTTTTTTTCTTCTGTTTTTAGGAACGTTAAGTGTTGTTTATAACATAGAAAAAAAAAAAAGAAACGACTCGAACCCAGAAATCATAAATGGTGCGAAGGAAATTCATCGTAATTCGCTGATCCCAAGCGAAAACTCGGGTTAAGAAACGTTGACATGCTGCGTAAAGAGATATCGCAGCGCGGTGACGGTGCGTCGTGAAGGGGCTGGGCTCGTGAAACACAAAACTTAAAGAGAGGATATGAAAGAACTAGGAAGAAACGGTTTTGATTTCGGGAACCGCAAGTAAAGAGAGAAGTATGGTTCCACATCTCCAGGGCGCTCTGACCCACAACACATGGACGTTACGTAAAAAAAGTGAAGCCCGTATCGAGCAAAAAAATAAATAAATAAATAAATAAATAAACAAATAAGAGAAATCAAAAAACGAATGTAAAAAAAAAAATTTGTTTGCGCCAACCGTGTGCGCTGCCTGCCCCCTACTCACGGCACACCTCACCGAATAAACAGCAACGATTAAAAATATTATGAGATAAGAAAAAAATTGCAATTAGAGAAACTCGACGTGTCATCCATCACGGGTTCTTAGCTATCTTTTTTTTTTTAACTCTTTGGCAGATTAAATAATTTTTCGTTTGAATCGTGTCTCGATACGATCTCGCAATCCACCAATCGCTTTGCGCTCACGCATCCATGTGCTACAGGTCAGTACAGGCTAGTACTATATACAGCTATCAGATTTCAGTGTTTTCCTTTCGTGTTTCTAACCGTCTAATCGACGAGACATTTAAAATAATATATTTATCATTTTTGATCCTGATCATTTTAGTACATCACAGTCATTGTGTTCCACAATACACCGCTATATAAATTCATTTCATCGAAACACCTGGCTAGAAGAATCCTAATATTTATATCTATTCGCACGTGCTATGTGTTAGTTTCTGTTCACAGTTGTGTTGGTTACTAACTCCAAGCAAGTGCCGGGTGTTAATATTAGTGGTACATAACTAATGACGTAGACGTTGAAGCACAATTAAAAACCAAATATTTTAATTGGACATAAACGTAAGTTGCTTTAGAAAGCAATAGAAGTTACGAATCATCCTTTTCATGATGTTAGGACACATATTGCACAGCACGTATGCATCGTGTTAAAAGACATTGTTTGCTATGATTAGAAAAATAATACATGTGACAGATAGGCTGTTATTTGTTGGCGGTGAAAGGTGTCTGTATAAAAATACACTATGAAGATCAATTAGGTTTCCATAAACATGAAAAACCGTCATAGGATAACGCAAGCAATGTGAAACACAAATGACATGTGATTACTAGAGTGCCTCGGACAGAATGCTTCGGTAAAAAAGAAAATGCATGAAAACGGATGATAGTTATATATAAATAATCTATTAGCCAGCACCCTGCAAATTGAACGCAAATAAAAAAGAAAAACGCAGTATTCTCAGTGTAACAGGTTTACATTTATTGTCTCGATCTCCCCTGGCTTAGGCATATATTAATAAATGTAATATTTTATCGCCATATTCACTTGTTATTGTGTGTATGTGTAGGTGTATGTGTGTGTGTGTGTGTGTGTGTGTGTGGCTTACAACGTGGGCCTCTGTTTAAAATTAAATCGACGTTTTTAAGAGTTATACCCATGGTGCGGTTTTACGCATAATTTCATCGAAGCACGCTCTCTCGGAATACTTCGAAATGAACTTTCACCGAATATTTATAACGCACGACGACGGAGTCGTGTTACAAAGCAACAAAAAAATGGACTACTGCTTTTATCATCGTTAACAATTTCCTTTTTCTCTCTCTCTCTGTCTCTCCTATTTTGGCTTTCTTCGTTCGAACTTCGAACCCGTGAACGCGCGCCTTATCACGAACGTTTAACATTTCCTCATGATAAACGTATTTCTCCGTACTCTGAGAGAAATTATATATGCATGATCCCATTAATATAGTGCTTTCATATTTTTTTCTTTTTCCAACCTCGAAACTTAACGCGACATCTTACACCAATTAAATGTTACTAAGCTGGTACAAGCGAATGTAAGTTACCTCTCTCGTGTATGTGCTTTCTGTTTATTTTATTTTTTTTTTTCCGATTAAAAATACGCACTTAATTGGCACGGTGAACACTCCGGAACAACGGCAAGCATTCGCATATTTAACGATAATAATTACAAAATATTGAAAGCTGAATACGTCTTCTTTTACTCTTGAAATTTGGCAAAAGAAGCAGCAGAAATATAATACATATACATTGTCCGACTAGTTTACCGACCATTTCCTGTCAATAACTTTGAAAAATTTTTCCCCTCACTAACTTTATATATTACTTATCGAAGAATCGCGAGTATCGCCTAATTCTTACGTTCAGTACAGGGAGATTTTTCTTACAAAAAAGTGCTTATTAAATTATAGTATCATAAATATTAAAAATGTATATTTCTAAATTTTGTGTTGTGTGAATGTATATGTGTATGAAAGAGAGAAACATACGTAACTAAAGATTCCAGCATGGCAATTAAGCTGGGTTTATACGATCGTGCAATTTGCGTAAGATAACCTGTGCAATCGAAATTGAACAAGTAGATCGTCAGGCGCGAAAATTTCTATGAAGTTGGCAACAAATAATTGGGCGCGTTTAAATGTTCAAGCTGTGCGCATGCGCGCTGATATTCTTTACGTACGGCGTGAACATAACCGCATTTTGTTTTAAATTGTTCATGGGGAATTATTACCCGTCCCGTAACAGAGTCAATTTTTGGTAATTAATGGTGTAAGTAAATTCAACAACTGCTGATAAGTCGTCGTTATCACTTTGGTAACTTGTAAACAATACACGGTGTAAGTTGCTACCAATTAAATGGTAGTCTATAAAAATTAACCAACAAACTAAGCTAAGGTTTTTGCAAATTGCATGAACATGTAAACCCAGCTTTAGATGTGGCACATAGTACCAAGAAAATCGATCTCGAGAAAGTCACAATACACTATTGATTAATCATCGAGACCATGATCGATCTTGCCGGTGCTCTCAGAGCATGCACTCGCAATGGGCGCTTTCTCTCCCTCCCTCTCTCTCGCTCTTTCTTTCTCTCTTCTTTTGTATCGTTTACATAATTCGATCAATACTTCTATTTATTTATTTTTTTTTTTTAAATATTTTAAGTTTAATTTTTAACACAACTAACAGCAGCACAGCATAGTCCGGTACTGACCTATAACCATTACGGACGGATGGATTCCGGGAGGTTCGCACGATATATTATCTCTTTATTTATCGGCCCGTATATTTTATTCTTTCTTTGTCACACTCATTCATTTAGGTTCAGTACTTACACCGTCTACGACTCTTATTCCATACAAAAATAGGTTACGTTATATATATAGCGTCTAAATATATATCATGCGCACGTTATATATATAACATTTTCTTTATAAGTTTCTTTTTTTTCCAAGTACTTTTTTGTTAAGTTAATCGCATGACCATTCGCTTCGCAATACTCGGCGAAATAATTATATTACTTAAAAATGAAATTTAATATTGCTGTTTTTTTATAAAGGAGAAATCGATTAAAAGAGGAACTTTTCATGATGAAGATTCTTTTTTTAACTAATTTTTAATAGGAACTTACATGAAAGATTCGTTGTTTTTTCTTTTAAAGCAAATGGTATTTGTTAATATTTATGCTTTCACCATTCCGTTTATTAGGTCTTTAATATACATATTAAGAATTGTTGAAGTAATATAGTTGAAACAACGTGTCAAAAGCAAACGGTATATACAAATGCGTTTTGACTATATCTTTGAACCTCTTTTCAATTCGATTAAAAATCGTCGCCTTTAGGTTAGGTTCGATCGTGTAATCGTATGACTAGATTGGTATGCGTTGTTAACTTTAACATTTCACATCAATATGCGTGCTTTATACTTTTTTTTTTTTTCAACCAAGGCACTAGCGGAAATAGTTGCACCTGTTAAATATCTAACATTTCGTTGATAGTATTCGCAAAGTATTGCGATGTTAATGGCTGCGAGTAGATAGTGCGCAAACTTGATTCTATCAGTAGTGAATTTTCTGAGCAAACAGTGGAGGGACTCGGTCTGAGTTCGGCTAATTTAATCACCTCATTACAGAGTTTAATTCTATTTGAACGATTCAAGTTAAGAATTTTGAAATCACCGTCATAGGCGATCAATTAGAACACGCGCGAAATGTGAAATATTTCAACAATGACTACCTCTTACCTGTCATGGATCTCTAATCTAATACTGACAGAATTCTAACTCTATAATGGGATGAAAAATAAGCCAGTTGCTAGCCGGCAAGCTAGCGGTGCGATTAATAGAAAAACAGTAAACCAAAAGCAAAAAAAAAAAGAAAAAAAAATAGAATTAAAAAAAAGAAAAAAAAATAGGATAGGATAGAAAACAGAATTAGAAATCGATTAACAATTATGCGATTGATAATCACAGTAGTTCGTGTTTTTCAGGCACCTTTGCTTACAAGCTAATGTTCAAATAAATATAAATAATAAACGATAGCATTGACACGAATCGATAAAAAAAATGATATCGTATTGTCAATAATAAAATGTATAGAAATATTCGTATAAAAAAAAAAATAATAAAATAAAGAAAGAAATTAATAAAAAAAAAAAAAAAAAAATCCTAATCTGCAACCTTGTGAGTATTTAGCAAAGCATATATATATGTAACGTGTATATATATATACTTTTAAATATTTATATAGTGTATGTTGCGCGCGCGCATGTAATAATCATGATTCAAAGTATTATAAGTTCTGTTAATAGTAACGTAATGAGCACTTAAATGCTAACCTAATTGATTAGGAGTGATTAATGTGTACTCGCGAATATTTCGTTATCTATCCTTGTTAACGAGCGAATAATCGTGCTTGAGCCACTGACAAAATCGTTTACGAATCGCGTACCACGTGAACAACGCACGTGTACTTAAAATTCGGGGTTTCTGTATGATCCTTTTCCACATTGCGTGTGATTAACCGGAAATCTACGGCATCTACGAACTCGGGGCTGGATCCAAGGCGACTTGACTTTTTAAAAAAACTGTCGGGAATACAGAAGGCGCACGTGCGAGATTACTGATTATTCTTTCGATTCAAAAACCTACTCATAATCCGAAACAACAACGTAAGATTAAAAAAAAAAAAAAAAAAATAAAGAATACCGTATTTGCGCGTTCGTTAAGGAAGTCGATTATACTATACTATATAAGGTCTCTCGTAAAGCGTATCGCACCTGATAAGAAATAAAAAGATTCGTTAGCTTGAAACCAAACGATTTCTGATTACAAATGATCATTAGTTACTAGCTACTTGATTGCATAACACGATTATCGTATGGAATTGTGTTTCCTTCCATACACACTGTATTCGTGAAATGTATTTCCAATAAAATTTATCCAATAAAATGACTGCCAAGCTTGATCAAATGTTCTACGTTTTTAATCAAAAATCATCATATTAGCTTAAGAATCTTTGTTATCATTCACGATACACTTTATGAAGTATTTTTTATATTATTGTACGAAAGTTGTTCCATACTGTTCTTTAAATATAAAGTGAGTAAAAAAACCTTGAAACGTTTCATGAGAATTCAATTAAAATTATCAAAGCTATCGCTTCTTTTTTAATTATATTGCTGATATAAGACATAGTATACATAACTTGTATTGCATATGCATTTAAACGTTTCATGATTTTTATGCCCACTTTGTGTTTGCATCATTAGCCATACTGTTAGTATGATAATAGTTAGATACATATTGAGCCAAACAGTTACAACAACATTAGATGCAAGTGGGTAATCTAAATTAAATTTCCCAAAAAGCCTATATTATTAAATACATGACGAATTTTTGTAAAAATGTTGATACTTTAGATAAGCATTAACCAAGTTGATTGAAGCTTGTGGATAAGCCCTCTAATGTAATAAAACCCAAATTATTTGAATGAGATTTATAAGTAATTGACGCACTGATGGAAGCACCTGAATCTGTTAATTGCCGAATAATTAGAAGAAAGGTAGGTTCCGATATGGACTTATATGGTTTTCGATCGCCATCTAATCATTTAATACAAACACGTGTTAGAAACAGGTTTTCAATAAAACTTTAAGATCTTAATATTTAAGTTAATGATCAATATCAAATAAGCCCATGTTATCAACATAATATGCACAATATTATTAAACTATCACTATTCTTTGCAAAAGTGCAACAAGGAATTTCAGGTAATATTAATCTAATCCTTTTAAAAATAGAATCAAAGCGTTAGGAAATAAACTATAAAAAACAGTTAATCAAAAATTTATGAAATTTGATTGTTTATTAAATATTTAACAAAAATTAATACATATAAGTCCATACTAACACGTCGAGTAACTGCCATAGATTTGAGAATTGTTAAAAAACCTACTAATACTTACATTTTCACCAGGACCTCCAAAACCACCCAGATTATAGTCACCCATTCCACTTCCACTGTCTTCTCGTGGTGTTCCAGGGCCACCATTAGCCGGACTATTTTTCATTCCATCAAGACCATCACCGTTCAGAACAGGACCCATTGTGTTAGGTCCCATTGGACCCATTGGACCACCTTCCGGTCCCCCACTCATTGGAAAATCCTGATACATAACATGAAACATAACTTTTTAATTTATTATCCCTCAATTATAATATGTTTTAATTTGTATCAATTGATCACAAGAGGTAGAGCAGAAAATAACAAGGACAAAATATACTTACACCAGGCATATTTCCTCCAGGTACAGGTTTCATCATGGTGTACATATTTTCACCACCGCTATTACTACTATCTTGTGGGCTCGGCATGATTGGTGTACCTGGGCCTGGAGGACCCGTTGAACCGGGTGGTCCTCCATAATTACCCGGTGATGACGATGAATAATTCATTGGCTAAAATCAAAGCGAAATTCTCATCACAATCTCAATATTTATTTTACAATCACAGAATTCAAATAAATAATCTTAAACGTACCGTGGATGTGTTAGGTTGCCACTGTTGTCTACCACCCGCCATACTCATTGGTGGCATTCCCGGTCCTCCCGGACCTCCTGGGCCTAAACTACTGTTAGGAGGTGGACCCCTCATTCCTGGCCCATAACTTCCCGGTCCCATTGGACCCATTCCTGGACCTCGTGGAGGATTCATTCTCGGATTCATGGGATTCATACCTGGTGGAGCTGGCAACAAAAACATTCATTGATTTATATGTCTCGGAACACATTAGTATTAATACTGTTCTAGTTTCATGTTAATATACTAAATGCTAATCGTGAATTGTTGGACTAACGGCAAATCATGTAATTCTAAATTATTATTATTATTATTATTATTATTATTATTATAATATAAAGTAATTTCGTAACTTTTTATTCCTTATTTTAATATCACTTAGATTTAAATCATGCTTTGCCGAAGTCAAATATATAGTAAAGCGAGTGGATGGCATGCTGAATTGGTAATGTGCATCTACACGAAGTAATGAAGTCAAAAGCCCATGCAAAGGATAAAAACAGTACTAGCAAATAACTTTTACAAGTTTCTGTGCTTCAAATTCGACACGGAAATATATAACATCACAATATATGGCGAATACATAACAAACAAGACAATCATTCAATTGTTACCTATTTAAATAAAGAATTACATTATTATACAGCGATACTGGTATTGAATTGGTGCTTGATTACTTTTGCATTAATTGAATTTAATATTTTTATGTACTCGTGTTGTGGAAAAATTTACACTGGCATGATTTTTTAAATGAAAGGAAGCAACTGTAGTGTTTTGTAATATAAAAGTTGATCAATTTTGTTAGCCACAAGTTCAACACATTACATGTAGTTATATGTTAACGGTATTATTGGAAATATATTGTATTATTTACATATGAAACTTTGGCTTTGAATATGTTCTTGTTAAAAATTAAACACGTCTTCTAACGCATTAAATTGCAATTGACAAACTAGATGCAAGATCGGGTGAGCAAGTATTATACAAAGAAACAAAGCTAGTGCAATTTTTTTTATAAAATGTGAAAACAGAATTTTTTCTTTTTTTTTTTTTTAACGAGCAGGAGAAAAAATAAAAGTTAGGCTTGACTAAGTCATGTGAGTGTGATTTGGTTGCTGGGTTGCTTCCTACCTTGCCACCCTACAAATTCTCCAGCTTCGCCTGAGGAACACAAGAGCACACATTAGTACGGCAGGTAGGTAAGGTCAGGTTGATGGCGGTAAGGTCTAGTTACTTTGCGGTCGCATAGTGAATACAGTTGTAAATATATTTTAACTGTGAAAATATATGTTTACAGCATGTACTAATGAATCGTATGCAAGAATGCAAGTTTAGCAAAAGCAACTTTTATATTTCTATCGTTGAAACATTACATTCATTTTTAAAATAAAAATTACTGAAAAACACTCAATAACTAATCAAGTAATTCAATTTCTTATGTTATATACAATGCTGTACAACAATGAATTGTAAGAAATGTTGTAGAATATTTCAAAATCAAAACATTCTTAAATAATGAAGTAACACAGAGAATATATATATGTAAAATCTGGTTTCTTTTATATATATTATTTTTAAAACGTTAGATCTGTCTCGAATATTGTACGTTTACATATTTGCTTGTTAATGTAATAAGGAGAACAGGAATATTTAGTTTATGCACTGAATTATATAAAATATGGAGTACTAATTGTAATTGTTTAATAAATTTAAAAACTACACCACTGCATGTAACTAGACAATTCAAAAACCAATCCACTCCACATCACAGCAATCCAATCCACTTTAAATAATTACTTATTTATTTATTGCTGTGTGGTTTTTGGTATGCATGCGTCTATGCCATTCTCCTCTCGCAATTATTGTCAATGCCAGAAAAAAAAAATCAATGTGAATCTAGCATACAAATGAGCCCTTACCTTGCCTAGTTGGATCCATACTATTTGGCATCATTGGTTGTCCGGGTGGCTGAACAAAAACAACAACATGTAAATAATTGTTTCAAATTAATCATATAAAATTGATGCCTCTACAAAATATTTATACATACCCCGTTAAAATCATTTCCCATTTGTGGCATGCGTACTCCAGGTCTTGGACCAGCAGGATATCGAGGACCCATGAACTGCAACAAGTTAGAAATTTATACATTAAATAAACGATGACTTAAAGAAAGATCACACAGGTAAAAAACGCCAAATATTAAATCTTCTTCTGATTATCACGAAACTGACACACCAGGCAGCCACAACAAGCATTTTATCACATATTAGGCCATATGCGCTTTGATGAAAATCATCATAGTGCACTTAATGAATGTGTGAGATTATTGGTGTGCAAATAGGATTGCAAACAAGGGTTCATATTCAATAAATAATATGGTAAATTATGATGTACATTAACAACAAATCTTACCTTAAAGTAAGCCATTGCAATAGAAACAGTAATAGCTAATATTTTTTACATAGTTACAATGTTAGAAAATCCTTACCTTACAATTTTGATGTTATGTTTTTTTTTATTATTATTATTAAAATTACGTGTTTTTAACATACAATAAATATGTGGTTGTAAATTTTCGTTCTCAATGTATAGAGTGTTACAAATTATACAAATATATTGAAGTATTATTCGCTATGTTCGTTTTAAGCAATTTTAATTCATCCTATTTGTGTTGTCTGGTCAACTTTAAATACACGGATTGAACATTGTGAAGTAGAAGTAATTTTAATAGGAAAAGAAGCAACTTTGAGCGTACAATCATAGGTACAGAATGATAATGGTGTAATGAGAGTGGATCGAGTGATATTTTCATGAATGATACGTGTACGTGTTGAATGAGGCTTACCTGAGTGGACATCATCTGCGAGTGTGGGGGCGGGGGTGGCTGGGGGTGCTGGGGGGATGGCTGTGATGAGGGGTGTGTGGGCGGAGATGGTCGCATTGTCGAGTTGTTCTGCAACAAGCAACGCAAACGACAGACATGTAGCAACACTGCGATCCAGGCAACAGCTAGACTAGAAGGCTTGGGTATGATTGTGTTAATACTATGTTGGTCAGCACCTTAAATTTCTAAGTTATAATTACGAAAGATATAAATAATAAAAAATCTATGTTTTATTATGATTTAATTATTTCGTAATTACCACTTTATACATAGAATAAGAATTTGATATCGAATGCCTAGGAATATCTCATTTCACTTTGAAATTAAAAAAAAGTAAACGATACAATTGAAATGATATGTATTTCAAAGTGAAACCTGGTCATCCTTATCTTAGTCTGAATTTCATTAGCTTAAAATGATTTGAAGGATAATGTTTGACCAAGCAATATATGCATATCTAAGAGATTTTATCACCTACATATGTTGTTATTTCAATATAGTTGTAAGCGGTCAACGAGAATGTCTCTTCAGATTGATTTTATCAATCATCTTTAAGACATATATGTACTTGTAAGATACATTTAAAACAATCCACGATATAAATAAATGTGTCAGTTCGTGGACCGCTTGTACTGAATACTAAACTACTATCTAAGCAGGCTTTTTATGTTAGATATATTAGATGTTTGAAAGAGTGTGACCTTAGCTGACATGTATGTACAATAAGATAAAATCAATATATTATCCTAAATATCGTTACATGCTTCTATTAACAGAATTTTTATTAAAAACTGTAACATTTATTATTAAAATATCAAAACAGATCAATAAACTGTGTAATATCCTAAAATACTAAATATGTTTCATACGCGGGAATAAATTATTAGAGAATATTTGTTATAATGCTTTTGCACGAAAATTAAGTCAGCACAAGGTAAAACACTATCATTTATATACCTACTATACAATTATTAAAAGTATTAAAACTAAAACTATTGTCTAACATCTATACAACTCTTTGTTGGTAAACTTCTGAAACCTGCTGTATGCAGAAAGGACATCCGAGAGTGAAAATGGTAGAGGAACGCACATACAAGTGTTAGATACATAGCAGAGAGAAAATAAGTACATAGATACAGTGTAGACAAGCATGACATGAGAATCTTATCTGAATGTACACTTGTTTCAAAACTAATACGTGTTAAATTAGATTGTGTACATTTCAAATTGATTGAAAGTGATTAAAAGGGATTTTTCACATGTAAAAGAAATGTTTATAATAATTATAAACACTACTGTCATATAGTATATCAACTGAATACAATAGGATACAAAATATGTTGGACAATATTGTTGTGATACTATTGTAAATAAGCTATTGATTTTCTGTAACTTACTATAGCTGTATTTTATTAACTAAAATTATTTTATTTTTATATAAATATTTCCTGTTTTATATTAGTTTAAAATATGATATTCTCTACAATATACTTTGAATTTCTGTTATCCGAAATCTGTAATGATTAGGTTTAAAAGCTTTGAATCAAGTGTAGAACTATAATGAATGAGAATTGTAACTAGGCATAACAATGGTAACAGATATTTATACATATTTATGTATATACACGTAAGTACTTGTGATATGTGTTTATATACAGTCAACGTGTCTGATTTCGTTAAATATTACGATAATCTTTCTTCCTCCTTATACTTAAAGACCAAATTACTATTTATAACTTCAATAATTTGTAATGAACTCTTCCTAAATATTTCAATTAGTGATATTATTGTATCTTTTAAGTAAAACACACTATTTATATAATACCATCTTTTCTTCTATTTTCCCCTTCATGTATACATATACACACGTATGTATGATGTACATAGACATATTCTTTAGAATAAAATAGACATGTTCCACAGAGATGTATTAATTATTATATATATCACAACAGAAAAATGTAAAAATTCATATACAGATAATTTTAAAAGAAAAATAACAACAAAAAAAATTAAGAATTTGTACTTTTCTTCCCGTTTAAGAAATAAATTGCTAACAAAACAAATAAATGAATACTTCATTATCCTTTAATGTATTAAGTATAAATAATTAAATAAATTAAACAACATAAACATATTAATAGTTTAAAAATGTAAAAAACTTACTGGGAAGAAAGCAGGGGGCATTGGACCACCAGGCATGCCATCATTGGGTGGCATTTGTCCTATGGGGGAAGGTGCTGGACCAGCATTCTGTAATCATCTTATAGTTATCTAACAACCAAATTGTTATCTAATAATTAATTATATTATCTAAATATCACTTTCACACGCAAATTTTAGAATTTGTAATCCTATACTTTAGAAGTATACAAAAACTAACATATGTTCAAATGATCATCGATGCAAGAAGTACTAAATAATTAAACATATTAAAATGAATGTAATGTAACTTACATGAGCAATACCATTGACTCCATAACCACTGTTTACAAAACCCTGCTAACAGAAAATTTGTATATTAAAATTTCCATATATTTGCAGTAGAAGTATAATTGTATTGTTATAAAATAATACTAACGTAGTCATGAAATGCCTTAGCTTCGCTACTGTGTTCGCAAGACTCCCGCCGCTCTGGTGCCGCTGAATACAAGTCCCAGAATACACTGAAATGTTTTAAAGTAATACGTTTAATTAGACCTGTAATTTCTTCTTCAAATATGCTTTGATTATTTCCATTATTATAAATTAATGTAACAGATAATACTTACCACCACCAAGAATGTAGAAACCCAGGTGGTTCTCCAAGTGTGATATTTTTCTCCCATCGTATCTATATATAAAAAAAAAAACAAAAACAGAATACACTTGTAACAAAAATATAATTACAGTAATTCGGTTATCTAGAAATTTCATCAAATTCATAAGATAACTTAAAATGTTTACCTCTGATAAAAATGTCTGTGCTGCCTTTTGTGCACCAACATGTAATAAATATTCATACACGTACAAGGCTAACCTGAAATATTAAAAATAATTTTTTAATAACAATATGTACACAAAATCTATTGTATTTTGATAAATTATTCTAATACATTTTAAGAGATTGATCCCTTTTTTCAGTAATTAATTAAATTTTATCAATGTTCAAATAATAATCATATCAAATAATAATCATTTTATTTAAGAAACACTTATATTGAAATATCTATATCTGTATGTACGATGCAATTTCATATCTACGCAAGAATATTATAATTATACTCTGTAAACAAAATAGTACCGTTTGGGAAATGTCACAGTACTAATATTTTGCGTAAACTACTTGGTTGCAAATGATAAAAACATGGCGCCGAATCGGCCTGGTTTCCGAGACAAGTGATTCTAGTGAGTCATAGCACACCGTTCAGGCGAATTTACGAGAAAGCAGGTTGCAAACAGGACAGTTAAGTAAACAACTCGATTCATAAATGTTTCCGCTGTATTATCCGGTAAAGGTCAATTTATGTATAGATCAATGAAAATTAAATTAAATGTCATTTAAGGTTCTTCGAGTGACAAGAAATCTTACAAGTTTCTACGTTAGATGTTTTCATTGTAATGTATGTTAACATCGAGAGCGGATAGTAATGCCGGAATTACTCGTCGAATCCGAATCCCCTGTTTTGGACCGACCAATACCTGTACGCACGCTCGGTGTAAAGAAAAAAAAAAAAATGGAGTCACTGGTCGATCAATCGGCAAATTTTTTTTCTTTTACTTTTTTTCGATCATTTCTTACAATATTATATCGTGCGATTCAAATAATACGTACTTTTCTCTTGCTTGAGAATCCGAGGGTACCGTTGACCCCTTCCCCTTCGCATACATCCTTGAAGACTGTCAATTTTTCCAATGTAAACAGAACCACTGTTTCGTCCCAACTAGTAATGTCCGACACTGTTGATCCCGCACGAACGGGGAAAAGGAAGAACTGAATTGTTAGGAGTAGTATCGTAGAGGGCGATATGCGAATGACCGGTGTGGTGGCAAGCATCAAGAACGATTAAAACGCCGCCATATGGTAGAAAGTCGAATTAGATATATAGTAACTTTTCCCTAGTTTCCGTCAGCGTCAGATTATATGCGGGGTATAAGTACTCTCATTCCTTGCATGGATTTCAAACTGTATACACATTTCCAATTATTCTTTCATTACAGTTCTCAAATATATCTTGTTACGCACGAGTCCTCCTATCTTGTAATTTCCATCACCTATCGGCGTCCTACGAATTTAACGGTCAAACATGTTATTTGCAGAAATAGAATAAAACTAATGTTAATTACCCCAAACCCCTTTGAAATAGATATTAGCGACATCTAGTAATTACAAAGAAACCGATACCGATCATCTTTCGATACAATTTGAGAGCTATTTTTCTTTTAAATATTGTACACGTACTGTATACAATTGTAGGATCAAAAGTTCCCGCGTCTTTATCATGACAGCTTTCAGGGCCGGCTCTGGGCCTAGGCAGACTGGGTGGCCGCCTAGGGCCCCCATAAGACGATTTTACGTCTAACAATGCAAGAAGAGTAATGTTTACTTGAATATTAATTAGGTATACAAGCTTTAATGTTAATTTTATAAATTTTATTTGAGGTATTTTTTTTATGTCATATATGTGAAGGGGCCCTTTTTCGGAGCTCGCCTCGGACCTCCGAAATCTCCGGGCCGGCCCTGACAGTTTTTCTCTGCACTTTCTTTCTATGAAATGTAATTAACAGATTACTGGCCCCAAACGAGATTAAAAGTGAACGAGTATAAAAAAAATTGTACGTCAAATATAAATGTCATCTAGTCGTACGATATAAACATGACAAGACGACGCGAGCATTATGATATTGTTTTTCGAAATTGAATATAAGTAAATGTACCCGTCAATGTTTGTAGTCCCAAGCGAAGAATCAGGAAAATGTGCACATCATATCACGGAAAAATGAACGAGCCGATAATGAAAATTATTTTTTGTTTGGTCGCACACGTCAACCAGTAACCTATACTAAACACAGTATTCCGTATCATGGCTCAGCGAATTGCAAACGCATGACCGCGGAACGAACGCACGCCGTCATCGTTCACAGACTTCACACTCTTCTTTTTTTCCCTTGCGATAGCTCACTTCGCTCGTTTTCTTTTCTTCGATTCTTTCACTGATTATCAAACCTGTTTCTGTACCCTCGCGTTTTGTAATTTGACAGAAACGAAGACGCGTCCTCTCACCGCGATACCGTAGTTACGCTCGGTCACTTCACTCTCTTCAGCTTCGGTTTACCGCTCACCTCACTTCTCCTCACAACGCTTCACCTCATCCCGCCTCACCTCATTAAAGATAGAGACAGACAGACGGATACACTCGCGCTTTACTTCTTCGTGAACACGGTGACACACCGATGCCCAAATCTTTCACGCGTATACGTCGACGCGCCTTCTTACTTCCGTATCGACGAATCCGTTTCTGTTCCGTTTTTTATTCGTAACATCTACTGATACTATAGTGAACGGAAGCGAAGCACGGTGTCAATTTTACACACGTGCAGGCTACACGAATGAAATTATTTTTGTATAAATACGCACAAGTTCGGAAGTGTGTTTCGTACTCAGCGTACGCGCAGTTCTCCCGTACACGTACTCACGGCACGGGAAGCATTGGTTATCTCCGTCACTCTTCTTCTTACGGTTGGTCCTTGTCTCGCGAATGGTTTATAGCAGCTGCGCGCGCAGCTATTGCTTTTCACGCCAGTAGCGTACGTAAGTTAGCTTTATTTTAATAAGTGACTTCGATACCTTCTTCGTTTTCAGTATGTTTTACCCGAGCAATTATTGTAATAATATTTTTTTTAAATAGCTGGAACAGTCAGGTATTTCATCTAAACTGTCCTATATCCTTTCCTATTGTGGGGGTATGCTTGAATTCATTAGTTTTGCTTATTACCTTGCAAAAAACATTCTGAGTTTTCGTATAGAAAGATAAAGATCATCGATAGATCAGAATTTTGTAAAAGCATGAATACATATTTAAAGAAAATTATGTTCCAATATATTCACAGCAATAATAATAAAATAAATTGCTACATTCCTGATTACAACTCTACACCCTATTGGCTGTCGATTGCTGCATGCGAGTTATCCTGTGTCTATGTACATGGCACGCATACATTGTTACAAGCCTATAAGCGCATGTCCGACAGCGGCGATCACCGAACAAAACCGAACATTGCCGATGCAAAATAGCCGACAATTGACTGAGCGTCGAGGGGTCGGACAGAAAAGAGACAAGCCATTCCTTCGGGTGTACAGCTTCCCCTTACACAATTTCATTCTGAAATTAATGCGTTAATTTTCGAATACCAATGAAAAATGAGAAATAATTTTAAGGATCCTTGTTATTTCATAATTCTATTTGTTAAGCTTTAGCTCATTGCCTTCAACTATTCCAAAGTTCTCCACCTAATGAATATAATTATATATGACAAAAAGAAAAACTTCCTACTTTTGTTTAGGAACAATACAAAGTAAAATTGTATTGTTTTTTCATTGTACCTCAATTGTTTGGGATCTTAAAAGACGTCACTGTTGTTAATGTTCATGCGTTTCAATCAAAGTGCTATACTGCGTTATGTCGAGCGGGTTTCATCGCACAGGAGCCAGTGGTAGAACTTCGAAATTTAAAATAAATGATTCCACCTACTATCTCTTTTTAACAAACATTCCAAAAGCGTCAGAACTATGCATAAAGGCACAAAATGTATATTAAATTTAATAATAAAGTAATGTGTTAATTACTGTAAGGACTAGTAATTAACAAACATACAAGAAATTGTTATCCTTTTTGTTTAGTTCGTTAAGTACCGATGGACGGCCCAGGCACGCTTACGTGGGAGGAATTTGTTGAAAATGCCGAAAGTTTTACACAGATGTCGAGTCAGTTCTCTGATGGATGGGAACTGCGAGGTAACAAGGTGAATGCATCAAGTAACTTGATCAAAATTTGTCAACAGATGAAAGTGAAAATGGAAACTTTCATATCCTATGTATGATTTACAGAACATTCCTGGGGAAGCATATATAGTTCGACAGAGAAAGCAATTTATCTCAAGTATTAGCGAGTTGAACGATCATTCAGCATCGAAAAATAACGAGTTTACCGATGATTTGAACTTCATTTTAAAACAAGATCCATTTGAAGCCAGTTCGTCAATCGATATACCATTGGTTACCGAACATCATGTACTGTGGTCGATGAGTTACGGTGTTCCAGTACTATATTTTAATGGCTGGAAATCAGGTGAACACATGATTATTCATTAAGTAATTGAAAGAAAAGTACTAGACAAAAACACCCCTTCCACTTCGTTTATATTTTGTGATGTTATGATTCGTTCTTAAAGGTATTTCGTGAATATCGTTAATTTTTTAACGTCTATTCATCAAAATATGAAACTTCCATTACAATCGCTCCCTGATCACCACTAGACCTTAATCTGGTATGTACAGCCTGTTGAAAATCGCAGGCGACGTAATGCTGATTGTTCCTTCGATTGTACCCTATCTTAAACTAGGCTAAGAAGTCAGCAAAGGGATCAAGAGTGACTGAAGGAGAAAGATACGAGAAACAAAGGAAATGTTTTATGACAATGCTGTGCACTGAAACATACTTTTCGAATTAAAATTGCAATTTTTTTTTTTTTTTGAAATATTTCTATTCCAAAACCGATTATAAAGCCGTATAATTAATTCCCGTAGATTTTCCTGGGATTAATCCAATATCTATGGAAGAAGCACAATCACTTATTCCCAATGCAGAATTGAAGTATACAGAATTGTCTCAAGTAATACATCCGATATTAAATACTCCATTTTTATATCTGCATCCTTGTATGTCTCAGGAACTTTTACAAATTACAAGTACAAGGTAAGTAATTAATTATTTATTAGAATAATAATAGAGATGAATAACAAAAGAAATTAATTACTTTCTAGCAAAAATAAATTAGTCAGTTGGTTAAGTACTGTTGCTCCTGTTGCCCTTGGTCTTAAATTGCGATCTGAGTATTGCAAATTAACCTAATAAAATGTGACTTTTAATGTAAGGTATTATGAATGTATAACTGTACTGTAAGATTAAATATTGTAAATATAATTATAAAATGATATAACCTTTTAAAAGAGAAATACTTCCTTTATTTCCTTGATATTAATTACGATTAACAATTAAAACTTTAACAGATTCGCTTACGATTTACCGCCTCTACATAGAGGATGTACGTCAATTGGTGGAGCTAGGGATTCGACTAGTGAACTATGATTGGTCGAAGAGTCGAGCCAAACTACGTGCACGCCAATCACGTTGCCCCGCTCATAAAACTCGCTGCTTTTTTGCTTCCCTTCAACTTCCCCACCACTCGCGCGCTTTTCGAACGTTTGGCTCAAATTACATACTCCTAGTAGTAGCACAGTCCCGCAACTGTCATCGTACGGTATACACGAAAGCAATGATATAACCAGTGAGTCGCCGTGTTGCACGTCTTTCTTGATTTTCCTATTATTTCAGCTGGAACCAGTCTGTTACAGTTCACGCAGTAAAAGTAATTATTTTCGTACACATTTTGTCGGCTACGAAATCGGCGCGTACTTACTGTGCATGCAAAGTGTTTTGTTTAAATCGCGAAATTGAAGAGAGACTTTCAACAAACTTCCTCAAGGTGAGAAACTCCATTGTAGTTTATCGATCGATAAATTAATCGTGAAGTTCGATTTTCATCAACTGTCGATACTCGTTCGAAGATTTGGTCAATTATCGACTGGTTTCGAAATGTCTGCGATTTCGATTACAAATTACATATTATTCTTGTTGCAATGAAAAAAAAGTGTTGTTATATGTATAAACTTTATTCATGAATGTCATCACTGCATTCCATTCGTGCTTGAAAAATGCAATTCTTATTAAATTGTTCACAATTAAATGAAAGTGCAATTACAAGCAACATTACCATTGAAATGTAGGTTAAATTCTGTTTATACGTATTATAAAAAGAATGGATAATTCGTGATTGTTTTTAGAATGAAGTTTGCAAAAGACCAATGTTTTAGTTGATTCTCGTAGAAAATGAAAATATCTATTGCACAGAAGAGAACCATCTAATTTCATTTATTACATATTACATCTATCATGTAATTTATGTTATGAACAATTGTTGGTAAGAAATTACCAAGGATAAATTTATCTCGGACTTTTCTAAGGCGTTACAAGAAGAAATTTGCGGTTAAATGATTGACAATTACATAGAAACTGCGATCAAATTACAGGGACGGCAACATTTGCGACGATTATAGTTGACGGTACCAGAGAACAGATAATTAAGTAATGCGATAATGGAACACGTGAAATATTATGTTACAATTAGTGAATCGAAGATACGAAGAGTAAAATTGTATTTTCTAGGTTATTTAGATAAAATGTGTACTTAGAAAAATTATATAACACATAAACCACTTGCGTATACTAAAATTATTTTACAAAATATCAAAACCTCGATTTGGCTTCGATGTGATGTATGTCAACAGAGTCCTAATTTACGAGAGATGCCAAGGATATAAAACCCGTCAACCACTGTTTGCTACCTGTTTAAACATGCCACCTATGCAAACGCATATTTTATCCCGTATTAATTTTATCATAGATCAAACATATTTCTTTATGCATCTCTTTTGCAACAAGCTATTTATTTTGTCCTATTTGTTTCTTACTTTTGTACGATTTTATTTTTCCAACAGTTTTTGAACTAATGTTCGATAAATGTCCATTTCCATGGTTGGCCCTGAGTTTTCGAAGATCTGAGGCGAGCTCCGAGAAAGGGCCCCTTCACATATATGACATAAAATAAGTAGCTCAAATAAAATTTATAAAATTAACATTGAAGCTTGTATAATTAATTTAGATTTTCATTTACATCGATTAATATTCAAATAAACATTACCCTTCTTGCATTCTTAGACGCAAAATCGTCTTATGTGGGCCTTGGACCTTGGGGAGCCCTAGGCGGCCGCCTAGTTTCCCTAGGCCCAGGGCTGGCCCTGTCCATTCTTCGTAAGGCGCATACGGTGCATCATTCGATAGGGGATGCATGACGCATAAGGTGCGTCGACGATCTTGAACATATTAAGTTATAGCCGAAAGGAAAATATATGTATAAATAGGTTCGAAATAAATGATTCGACGAGTGGAGAACATCAATTCGTCAAAGTATCGACAATATTGATAGAAGGCTATTGGTCGGAAATAGACGTATTCGACGGTTGGTCGAAAATAAACGTATTCCTTTGAGCTTGATGCTATGTCGCAGCATGTTTCTTGCTCGTTTATTACTTGCATCTTATTTCTGACTTCCCTATAACAGTCTGCTATCGGGTTCCGTCGTTTGTTCGTACATAATATTGCTGCTTCTGACCCTGTTAGATTGTATTTGTTATCTTAAATCAGACGAAAATAAGAAGCAATACATTTTTAACTAAACTCTTATTATTATAATAATAATTATACATTTAATAAATAGCTTATATTTTCTGCGGAGTCTTAAAAAATAACTGAAAAATTTGTACAATTTTTCTATTTTCCTTTTTTGATTCTTCACAATGCGTACAGCAACTAGTGCGTCACGATCAACATCGTTTACATCAGCGTTGCATAAGAATGTAATTGCGTTCTTGAATCGTAATTATTTGTATACTACGCTAACGTACTCGTTGATTTTGTTATTCGCGAATCGCGCAAACTGTATGCTGAGAAAGATTGAGTTTCATGGGAGTATCTTACACGCGCGAATGTCTTCTCTATTTTATACACATTTCTCATCGAGCTTGTCTTTTTTAAATAATTCAATAATATCAATGATATTTATTAAGGTGTTGCTCTTAGAAATGTAATAAGTAACTTTTTTATTTACAGAGTAGAAGAGATCGGGTTTCTGGCAAATACAGTAAAACCTCTATAAGTCGTCACCCGGATAGGTCGTCATTTTAAAATTTACATGGTTTTTACTCCGCTTAAGTCGTCAAAATTTGTCGGTCCCTTGAGTGACGACCTATCGAGGTTTTACTGTACATTTTACAATTCTTACATCACGGTCCCGTTACAGGAATAAATTAATGGAATAGCAAGCAGTAGATACTAGAAGAACAGTTACACTTATTTTGTGACCTTCAAGCTTTAGATTCGTTTATCTTACGTTTTTTTTGATAAGACTGAGACAATTCTTAAATTGAGGCCGTGTAATCGCTGACCAGATCCGTGTTAAATCTATAATCATTCTTACAATTGAAGGTAATTCAGGTTTTTAATAAATATTAGTAAATTAGATGTTGAATAATCGTCCTGGGTACGAGTTATCTTCGTTTACAAATTGCAAAATAGTAAATGATTGTTGGAATATTATAAAATCAGTACAGATCAATCGTGAACATTTCGGTTATTAACACGAGGGTTAATTGAATATTATATAGGGCAAGCAATTTAGCAATATAATTGCGTGTAATGAGCGAAGAGTAGGGAGCAAAAGTAGCCCATTTACCTGGTTAAACGTTTGATTAACTCGCTAATAAAAAATTCAAAGAGCACCCTTTGATCTTGTGCTAAAAATGAAGAAGCAAATTATTAATGACAATTATAGTAAACTGAAACTTCTCTGATTATCACGATTGTTCATTTAAATTTGAAAAAACCGATAATTTAATTCCCTCAACTCTCCAAATGTTAGATTTTTTAAAAAAAGGAATCAATGACAAAGGACATCCAAAGTTTCCGCCCACGTATCGAACCCATCGTTCCTTGTATATCATCAACTGATTGCGTCACGATTAGCTTCTATAATAGTTCATTAAATCGCCGGTAATTTGTGGTTGTGGGGATATTTTATCTAGTATAAATGAATGAACATTATCGTTCAACACTTTAAACCCGCGACATGTTAAGGCCAATTTACGTGTCCGTTACACGATGAAAAAGTTGAATTAAAATTCATTTAGATTTAAAAACCAATGATACCTATAACTTCTTGTAAACGTATCAAATTATCCTTTGAGTAGAAACGCGCAGCTTTGTTTTGCATATTTTGGCTTCGAGCCATTTGAAATTTATGATCGCTTAACAAATATGCAAAGTAAACTATGCGAGTATAGGTGAGACAAGTTCGCGTGAATGAATAATTGGTTAACGCGTTGCGAGCCGTGTTTCTCTTCACGCCCCATCGTGTAATTGTTCTGTTGTAGTGACGAGTGTTAGAAGACAATAGAGAGATAATAATTCATTTTTCTTAACTCTTCCAATTTTCCTTGGTTTTACTTATTTTCTTGATTCACAAATCTGACCATAACTCCCATTCTGTCTGCCAACGAAATGGAACCGGTATGCTGAGAAATTTCTATCAAAAAGAAGGAGCATTTTACGATACGTTTCTCCCGCAAATGGGACGCAGTCAGATTCAAGTTTCGTGGAGGAAAGAACACTCTTAATGCTCTAGATAACAGGAGCAGAATTAAAGCTTTCTTCCTCTCGACACGCAACGATAAAAGTGTTCTATTTGCGACACTTTAATATCCACATTCGTGCCATTTTTTGATCGAGGATCAAATCCACGTTTAGCTTATTCGAAGGGAACCCTAGGATTCTTTCCGTACAGTCTGCGAATTCATAAGCGCTCGTTCTTTATTGAATTCAGCGCACGACCCGACTCTCTAATCAATTATAAACTTGACCCATCTCGACCCTTCCGGTCAACGAGGAACACCACCGAGCATTACTACTTCCTTCCTACTTTCGAAACGCCTACCGAAAACAAGATTATCTTTGCTTACAACGTGCCAAAGAAATTAGGGTACCATCGTAGCTGATTTCTCTGACACGATTTCATGACAGAAAATTATTGCAAAATACCATGTATGATGCATCAAATTGAAGCTTAAACCTTGATTAATGCTAAAATACAATGGTCCACGCGACCCTGTCAAAATGAAATCCATAGTCCCTATATTCAAAGCAAGGAGGTAACAGTACACCCAGGGTAAATCTTAACACTAACTTCTTTTACTTCTTTCTTTTGCAGATCGATAGAGATCTTCAAGAACCGAGTAGCACCTTCGGAAGGTAAAAAATAATCCTCGAGCGAGGTCAA